ATTTTTTAAATATTATTTTCATTTTTTTAGTTTTAATTTATTATTTAATGAAAAAATATAAATTATGCGATATGCATATTAATGCGTCGTATATGAAATCATTTATCTAATCGTTCATTTATTTCATCGCAACAATCATTTGTCATCACATATCTCTTATAACGTATATTTATAAGATAATCAGTTACACTTATGTACAATTTACATTTCTTTTTACGCTATTATGCATATACATACACACGTATCTTACTTCCTTAGTCTCGGTTTTGCCTGTCATGTTGAATCTGCTACCTAACTGTAGCCTGGATTATTTGGCACCTGTGCTGTCATGGGTGTAGAACAACCCTGCAACTTTACGTCCTCGCGTGCCACGTTTCGGACGCGCCTAGAATTGCACAGATTGCACCTATGCTAGTTTCTATCCCCGACTGCCAAGTAATAACCTGTAGAACATTATGATAGCAATTCGTGCCCTCGTTCGTGCACTATACGCGTATGCATTCGTATTGTTCGCATTAGTCTTCTGCAGCTCTGTATGTCGAACTACATTCGAAATAATTCATATATAAATATTTCGTTATTTTTTAAGAGGATTTATGTAAAACTAATTCGCGTTAATCGTGTTACGTGAACACTACGCATTTTTTTGCGTATTTCAATAAACGATCAAGAGAATTTATTTTCATACTATTCAAAAATTCGTATTTTTTAGAAATTAAAATTATACGTGCGCATTATTTATAATTATATGTATATGAGTATAATTTATGAAATATTATTACACACAAAACTTTCCGTAAATATAATCTTTACTTTTTAAAGAAAGAATTTAAGACGATTAAAAATAAATTTCTGTTTTTCCATGAAAGACAAGTAGCTAAGATCAGTAATAAATATTCAAGACTTGAGTTGTTCGATGAGCAGCAGCAGGCTAATTCGAATGGAAATTTGCGAGCTACCGAGGGTTAAGATCCTAAGATGGAAATTGTGCAGGGGGAGCAGCTGTTTCTCAAACCCGATCGTTTAGCGACATTGAAGCCCCATTACAAGAGCGAGAAGCCACCGCAATACACGACGTTCAAGCCGAACAACTGAAGATTTTCCTATGTTTATTTTATATTGATGATTTATATGAAAAAAAAAAAACGAGAAAAGTATATGTACAAGGTAGAGTGTAAAAGCGGAACGAGAGGAACGACGCAAAGTGGCACGAAATCAAACGCAAAATTGTAGCTCTACTTCTATCAGCCTCATTTATTACGAATATGAGATATATTTATTATATAAGAGAACTGCGTATACATGTAATAATTGCGAATTTATTCAATGCGAATCCGTCGTGGCGTTCAATTGAAAGACGTAACGAGTCTCTCGCTAAAATATACTACCGATAATTTCGGAAAGATGATCTCCAGAACCAATCAAAATGACAACACTATGCATATTTATAACGCTTACATATAACATTGTTAATAAAATGATGATTTTCATCAGCCACTATTTTTATTGACACCTTTAGAGTAAGCAGTACGAATAGTTAAAAAGTTACGAAACGTTAATATTCTTATGATACGACAAAATTCGATTGTCAGTTATATTGAAGATTATTGTCATAAATAAATTTATAATACCTAAACCTTTCGAATCCAATCCTAGAAAATTAAGATCTTTTCTACATGATTACAAATACAGATTTATGATCATCATGTTATCAACTTGACAATTTGTTATAATAGAAGTATATTCCAATGTAAGTATACCCTACATTTTCTCTTCAAATTCTGCATTTTACAAAAAAAGCTTTTTCTCATTTGTTTGTATTATTTTAGGATTTGGAACTATAATATCGTTGCATATTACAAAATGCTACATTTTAAAGATCGAAATTTACACATAAAACGACGTCACATAAAACGACGTGATTCTTTTACATTTTAGTTTTTGCGAAACTCTTTAGTGCATGAAAATGAAATGAAATTTATGTGATCTTAATGAACGTAGCCAGAATTTTTAGGGGGGGGGGGGGGGGGAGGGAAAGGAGCAAATTAAAATTGAATCCAGGAGAAGAAGGAAGATAAATGAAGATTATTAGACTTTTGTTTCATATTATTATTTTTAATTAATTACTATAGTATACAATATCTACTATACAATAGTAGATGAAGCACAAAATTACACACATTTACTTTATTAATTTACTTTATTAATTTACTTTACTAATTTACTTTATTTTTCTTTTAAAATTGTAAATTGATTCTTCGAATTAAAAAGACTTAAATTTACAATATTAGTCATTTTCGATTCTCAGAAAATCTTTCTATAATTTTCACCTTCAATTTTTTTTTTCTTTTCAAAATTAATTTCTTATGAATACTCATTAAACATAGTTCGTTTAAATGGTTTCAATTATTTTTGTTCTTTAAGATTCAGAGAGGCTTCTCTGCCTCCCTTGGCTGATGATATTAGATGTAGTAAAAAGAAATCCATTATTTTTCCATTCAATTTCATGCAAAAATAATGGATTTCTTTTTACTACACCTAATATTAATATAACTCAAACACGACAAAGAATTATAGAAACTGCAGTTCTCATTACAGATATGTTATAGGGTAACATGTCTTATTATTTTACCTTTATCTTAAATTTCATTGACATTGCATAAAATACGAAAGGATGAAACATTTTATGATTCATACTTATCTTGTTTATCATCTATTGAATTACGATTTGGAATTACGATTCAGTCACACGCCTTAGAACCTATGTATCAATCAACAATGAAAGAAGATTGAAATCTGAGTGCCAAATCGAACTCGTGGATCATAAGATTGCAGAGTTCGCGAGACGGTGAAAAAGATGCAGGATGAAACTTTCCGATTTTGTTGTATTATTTTGTATATCGATGTTAATTCTGAACAAAGATTTGTTCCATTGGAAGTATAGAAATAAAAATTGAAAAAATATCAAAAATAAAATATCATAAATATAATAATAAAAATTCATTTGTCTATAAAGATTATGCCTGATACTGAGCTCAGTATCAGACTCCTGCTCCTCGCCCTGATGAAGTGAACTGCAAGGTTCATGAAACGTTGGCATTCCAAGAATGGATCTGGATACAGAAGAAACCCGCGAAATACATAATCTTTATAGAAAGAACTCGTGGAAGTTTCAAGAATATAATTCATTTGTCTGTTTGCTACTTAAAAATTTACTTATTTACATTATCCAAAATGCGAAAATCATTTTGTAATAATGTAATATCATATCACAATATATATATATATATATATATATATATATATAATTGTTCTTTGCTGCCTCATTGGAATGTATTAG